TGTTGCCAGAGCCCCCCCCGCTCTCCCCTTACCAGAGCTGCTCTTGTGCACAAAGTGACCTGACCCAGGTAGCCAGGGCTGCTTGCTACCTCACCCCACCACTTCCTCAGCCTCCACTCACAATTACCAGCCATAGACACGCTACGAGGGGACTCCCCTCACAGAATTTCCAGAGATGCCCCCAGTTACCAGGGACCCTACTTCCCCCACAAACATCCCACCACCCGCCTTCACTACCTCACACACTGAGCAGAGGCAGGCCCCTTTCCCCTGGCAACCCACACCACTTTAAATACAACCACCCTTACTTGGAGTCTGCCACAGCCCCACCACCCCCTATACCTTAGCCACAATCCCTTCCATAGATCCTCAGTAGCTCCCTTTACCAGTCTTCCCTCCCCCAGCCTCCTCCTCTCCATTTCAGGGTCTCCCCCACAGACCCTGTCCTGTAATCCCCCATCCCAATTGCTAAAAACCCCTAGTTACCAGGACTCCATATACAGTGGAACCTCTCTCCTCAATTTCCTGGGCCAATGAGACTGGGAGGGCCCCTTTTTTGAACAGTTGCAGGGGATCCATAGACCTTGTGGCCCTTGTCCTGCCAGTGGGTTGAATTGTGAGAGCTGCAGCTGCTCACACAGTATGAACAATATGCCTTTTCCTTCTTCACTGGGGTTTCGTCCTTTGTAGTTAGTCCTGTAACTGGGACTTTTGTTTCCCAGTGCAAAGGTCTTTATAAAAAATTAAGTCAGTCTCTTATTATGTGAGTAAGATTTTTGAGAGGGGAGAAAAAAACTGCCAAATGAACTTCAACAGCTCAGGGCACTTTAGTAAATACCACTGAAAATAGGATTAATGAAAGCCATCTTAAGTCAGTGGATACCCAATCTTTTCAGGCAACTGCAAGTTTACTCAGCTGAACTCTCTGCTGTACCAATTAGTGCCCACCAGCTCTGCATTCAGTTATACATGCTTCACTCCATAGGGGAACAGAGTATAAAAGTGGGGTTTTGGAACATGTCATTCTCCCAACACAGGATAAAGCAGGCAACAGAGGAGTTGCCTGGTCCCCATATAAACTACAAAAACCTTGATTCTTCCACATTTATTATTAAATAATATATTGTTATGCAAGTGCTTCCATTACTTTTGGAAGGAATACTTTGATATTAAGAGTCTACTCCGTGTAAAAACAGCAGAATCAGGCCCTAAAATATGGACGTTGAGCCTAGGGTACTAATAGTATTAGGAATACTAGTATTAGTATTTTGTCTTCAAGGTTATGGGGCAAAAATCAATGCACAGTATGGCTTTTTCCATTTTTAAGTACAGATTTTTCAGCACGGTAGCTTTAAAATCACTGAGGCAAAATAGACAGAAGGCTAGGTTTCATTAAGCAACATCACTTACATGGGAGATGGAGGTGGCCTCATGCTCAATATCAGGGTCCAATGGGCAACATTCTTTAGAGCAAATGGTCTCAGAAGGTATTGAGAAGAATGTTTTTTATTCTAAAAACGATTGCTTTCCCTAGCATACATACAGCAAAAGAGAAAATTATTCAGAGACAGTATCACAAGACAGCTGGAAAATTACTCAGTATTGTTAAAATACTAGTATATTAGCAATGGTTCAGTAATATTTTATAGTGGCATTGAGATTCTCCGGTTTAAGAAACATTAATTTTAAATAGACTTATTACTACCAGTGATTTATATCTGCTACAGCAATAGAAACTGTATGTATTCACCATAAAACAAGACATTAATGCATATTTATTCCACCCAGTTCCTGCCTCCTGGATTACTTCTCAGCTCACATTTTTCAATTTTCATACTTTAGTGACATTGTTGCTCCAATACTTGTTTTTTACAATAATTTCTAAATGTTTGTAGAAATGGAAACCAGAAGCAGTTTTAATATTTCTATTTTGACTTATTCTTAGAATTTGCTAATGATGCAAGCTGCCAAGCCACTCCTATTTAATCTGTTATACATTTAATTTTACACTAAGCAACAAAAATTGTTGGAAAAATTATTTACAATGAATCAATCTGTTCTAGTTAAAGGTATTGTTATTTTGGAGTGCAATCCTTCAGTTCTTGTTTCAGGAAAACCCTCTGAAACTTAAGAGATGTCCAGGACCAATGGCTTGACCCTCCACCTCATGAAATCAGTTGTAGAACTCCCCATGGCCACAAGTGGTGCAGGAGTCAGGAGTCAATTGGAACAGAAAATGCAGGAATATTTGCTATCAGATTGAAATATATTAGCAGAACTGTTTTGGAACTGTGTAGGGTAAGCTGTTTGCACTGTAACTGACTCCGGTCAGGATTAGGAGGCTCGCACTTTCTTGAATCATTCATTTCGCACAAAAATATAAGGTCAAATAACATTATTCCTATACTCCTGTAACTCTCATTGTACGAGGAGTAAGGGAAGTTGGAGCAAGAATGCTCTATTTAGTGCTGTGTAGACACTCCCAATTTTGAAATAAGCTACACAATTGACATAGCTCAATTTGCATAGTTTATTTCGAGTTAAGCCCTGCTGTGTAGATGAGACTAACAAATATATCTTGAGCTTTTGTGTGTAAAACCCATTTCATTAAAGTGGGGTTTAACCACAAAAGTTCATAATATAATATACTTGTTAGTCTCTAAGGTGCCAGAAGATTGCTCATTGCTGAGTAACGTTAAAATAAACTATATTACCACAAATGATAGAGTTCCCTGATAATCATTACAATGCCTCCCATTATTAACGGAATATTGATATGTCTCAGAAGAGTTCAGTGTTGAATCAGCATTTGAAATAAATTGATTTTTCCTCCAGCCACACCCTGTTAAAAGGCTTCCATATCTTGACTGAGGTAATTGATTTAGTACTACTAGAGGATACTTGCAATGCACAAAAATGGATGAATTACTGCATTGTGAATTACTAAATATGCATTAAAGGAATTTAGTCATAAAAGGTCTGGTCTTCCTTAGCTTTCATATGCATATCCAAATTAAAGAAAGCAAAATGTAAAATTTTATGAGATCACTCACTATTCTGTAATTTTATTTGCAATTTTTTCTTCTCTACTTCTCCACATTAATCCACTCAAATTAGTGGACTATGGAGAAACTAGCAAATTATATTAATGTGAGATTCAAATAGATCTTAGATATAAATGCAAAGTGGCATTATTTAATCTCATTTGTAATTGATCACACGAAAAATGAAGAAAAGTAAGAACAAAAGGTAAGGCCAACAATTTTTCAAGTCACTTGCTTTCAGCATCTGCACAAGCTCTGTAATTACATCAATAATGACTAAGGACCATTAAGTTTAAACTCATATGAAGTATTTACCATTTTAAAGCACTTACCTTATTTCTCTAGGCTAGCTTCAGGGTCTATCAGTGTTCTGTGTAGGATATCTGTCATAAGAAGTGGTCTGTAGCAGGAACAAATATAGGACTACAAAACCATTAATAACCTATCTGTTGAACAAACTCCTTTTTTAAAAAATAAACATGCAAAATCACCCATCCAAGCTCATGGTCAATCAGGAGCTCTTCAAGAACAAAAATAAACCTTGTGAAATATAGGAATCATCAAACCACGACGCACCTATGATTCAGTTAATTTGGTACCCATCTCTAATAGTAAATAATACCAGAAGATGGTATAAGAAATCCCACAGAGGGCAAGTGTGGAATAACTTACTTAAAGAAGACTCTTCCCAATGCCCATCCATTACTGGTTGTCTTATGCCCTGAAAAATGAGGTTTATGTCATGTATTTTAAAAAAAGTTTTCCTATCAGTTTTCTACAGTTTGAACCTTTCTTGGAGTGAGAAAAAAATACTTAAACTACTTTTCCATAGTAAAAGATTTTCAGGGTGGGATTCATTAACATTATAGCAACCTCTTTTCTCCCAAGATTGATAATCAAAACAAAGTAAGACCCAGAATGATCAGAAAAGACAACTGTTTCTATTGGAAACATTCAGTAATTGGGATCTCCTAGTTTCATAAAAATGAGAGGAGAAGCAACTAATTTAGTCCATTCCCTGCTAATGCAAGAGTGGTCTCTATAGAGCATTTTTTAGTATTCTGTCCAATCTAGTTTTCAATATCCCAAATGACTGGGATCCCCAACCCACTCCTTCCCTTCCACAACTGCATAAATCACACTGACTAGATCTTCAACCTATATTTTTCTTTTCTTGGTTTGATCCCATTAGTCCTAGATATACATCATGTAACGCAGCCACCAAATCATATGCCTCCTTAGTGATTAAACTGCTGCATATTCAGCTCTTTTAATCTTTCCTTGTAAATCAGTCCCTCTAGTCCAATGATCATCCTTGTTCTCCTCTGAATATCAGTCACTTTGTCAATATCAAAGGTTTGTCAATAAACCTTCTTAATGTGAAGAAGGTTTTCAAAGGAACAAATGACAGATGCCTAGCTCTTATTGACTTGCAATGTGCCTTTAAAAATCTTCCCCATGGAGCCTATAGAACAGAATAGAATAGCCTTAGTGGGTTAAGAAAGTACTAGTTATGGGAAGTATAAGAACCCAGAGGATCAGGGAAGAGCCAATCTGCCACAAAAAGTGCATACCAGGGCGGAGCACCTTCTATGGCAGAGTTGGAGAACTTTTTTAGGTCGGGGCCATAGATCCACAGAAAAATCAGTTGTGGGCCACACACAAGTGAGAAGCAAAAAAAGAAAAAACAAACCCTCATGGACATAGCCCCCAACTGAGAAGGAGAAAGATATTTTCCACATTCCCCTCACATACCAGAGCCTCGGTGGGCCTAGGCTAGTAGATTTTGTGTGCTCCAGCCCCAGAATTAGATGGGGCGCTAGAGTGTCAACGTGGGCTCCCCATTGCTGGGGGCCAGCTCTGAGCCTCGGGGGCTGGATCCAGGCAAGCTGGGGACCCCATCGCTTAGGTTTCCCACCACTGTTCTACAGCATTAATAACATAAGAACGGCCATACTGGGTCAGACCAAAGATCCATCTAGCCCAATATTCTGTCATCTGACAATAGAGGGAATAAACAGAACAGATAATCATGAAGTGATCCATCCCCCTATCGCTCGTTCCCAGACTCTGACAAAGAGAGGCTAGGGACACAATCCCTACCCATCCTGGCTAATGGCCATTGAAGGACATCTCCTTCATGAATGTATCTACTTCTTTTTTTTGAACCCTGTTATAGTCTTGGCCTTCACAACATCTTCTGGCAAAAAGTTCCACAGTTTGATTGTATAGAGGTACTTCCTTTTGTTTATTTTCAACCCCTGGTTCTTGTGTTCTGGGAAGGAGTAAATAATTCTTCTTTATTTACTTTCTCCACACCCTTCGGGATTTTATAGACCTCTGTCATATCTCCTTTAGTCATCTCTTTTCAAAGCTGAAAAGTCCTAGTCTTTTTAATCTCTCCTCATATGGCAGCCCCCTTCCAAACCCCTAATCATTTTTGTTGCCATTTTTATACTTTTTCCAATGTCAAGATACCTTTTTTGAGATGAGGCAAACACACCTGCATACAATATTTAAGATATGGGTACACCATGGATTTATATAGAGGCATGTCTCATTCTCTATCCCTTTCTTAATGATTCCCAACATTCTGTTAGGTTTTTTTTCCCTGCCACTGCACACTAAGCAGATGTTTTCAGAGATATATCCACAATCATTCCAAGATAGCTCTCTTAAGTGGTAACACCTAATTTAGTCCCCATTATTTTATACATATAGTTGGGATTATGTTTTCCAGTATCCATTACTTTCCATTTATCAACATTGAATTTGATAAGATAACAATGTGAGTGATCTAAAGGATCAGAAAGAAGATTGAGTACTATCCTGAGAACTGATGAGGGAGAGAGTTTGACTAGAAACTGGAAAACTAGAGTATTTAAGACAGATTGTTGTTGCCTAGACTAGACACAATGCTTGGACGAGGTTTTAGGGCAGAGAGCAAAGTTTCAGGGCAGAGAACACTCTCTTTGGGTTAAGGTCAAATATTCAATCAAAAGATGATACTCCGCCATCATGTGATCTTACCCCAGGCCTGACCCTTAATGATCTACTTTAGTATGTATGGAACTAATGCAGAAAAGCAAGTCTCAGAGATGCCATCTCCCTGTTTGCTTTTTATATGGACGTTCATTAGTTACAAATATGCGCCAAGTTATGTCAAAGTTTTCACAAGCTTCCACTATTTTTATAACATGCTGAAACCCAGAATTGCAGGTGCTAATCAAGTAGTTATTGCATTAGGTTGGTAGTCTCATGGGGTAGGAGCCCCGTATCCTCTTTCAGGGAGCAGGAAAAAGCACTAGGAAGTAACACCAAAAGCTGCAGGGGAGTAAAAATGCTCTGATTAAGAGTTCCCTCAAGGGCTTGGAGCTAAACATTGCA